GTATTTTCAAAAGAATTGTGAAGTATGGGCATTTAGCACTAGTGTCTATGGAAGTTTTTTTTGCAGGTATGCATCCTATAGAGAATCACAAAGATGGCCGTTTCGAGCATGCGCTGTGCCGCTGCAGTGGTCTTTTCAGTGGGCGGAACCTACGGGGAGGGGGAAAAAGTGTTTTAAAGGTATCAACAATGTTTTATTCTGTAACGGATGCTTCAAAATCATAAGGGAGCCGTAGGCTATCACCCGATTACAACAATTGCTACTTGAAAAGGGGGGGGGCATTTTGAGCTGAAAAGTAGCTGAAACTCAATTTATTGTCGCTGGGGGCGCTCTACAGCTTAGCAGGGGCAAAACAAATCACTATTTTGGGGCTAAATATCGACCTCGGATAATATTTTTTTTTTTCATTTTTTTTCTTCAAAATATTGACTTTGGAGATATTCTGCTTGTCCTCAATGTGGTTTTGTGTTAAAATTTAAAAGTTGCCTGCTATTATAGGGTGCACACCGGTAAATCGATCCGCCAAGCTCATGAATAAAAGTTATACCCTCACAATATTCTATATTAGAGAGTTCTGAGCGCCGTAAAATTGGGGAATTGAAGAGATATGGTAATGAACCTCTGGCCCGTACTTGGGGCTTCCAATTCTGAGCATTTTGGATGCTATTGGGCTCGAAAGTGACGTTATTTTGCCATGTTGTGGAGGGATCGTTTTTCAAGATGGCTACTTTTCCGCTTTGGGGAAAATAGGGGTCGTCTTCTTTGCGTGAAAATATCTCGAAAAGTCAGTGGTCAACCAACCAAAACTTGAAAAAAAAAAGACAGATGACACATTGATCATCATTTTTCTGTGCAGCTTGAATACCTGTGAGAGTTTTGAGTATTTTTAAAAAAATTGTGAAGTATGGGCATTTAGCACTAGTGTCTATGGGAGTTTATTTGCAGGTATGCATCCATTAAGACCAAAAAAAGGTCTTTGAAGCGCCAAACAAAATCGGATTCGTTGGCTGGTGGTTACATCGGACGGAAGGAGGGGAGACGTGAAAACACTAAGAAAAAACGTTCACTTATTTAGACAAAAAAAAATGCTTCAGCTCGGTCTACATACAGATAGAGAGGTAATATCCTTTTGGTGGAGATGGGATTCGGAAAGAGGGCGTTATAACTTACTTGTGGGCAGGAACGTATACAAAATGATGCAAGGATGGATCCTATCGGGGGAAGGAGGCAAGGGCGGATCTCAAACACAATTTTTTTTTTTGGGGGGGGGGGCAAAAGTAATTGTTTGCCCCCAAAAAAGTGGGTCCCAAAAATTATGGCGTGGGGTTCGGAACAACATTTTGGATTCTAGATGCGCTGTGGTGCGATCTGAGGCAATTTCTGACCACTTTAACCAAATCTTTTTGATTGGTGGTGGTGTACGCAGTGCCTGCCTTAATTGCGGCGTCAAATAAAAAAAATAAAAAAAATAATGTGTTTTTTTGGGGGGGGGGAAGCATGGCCCCCGTTGCCCCCCCCCCTTGATCCGCGCTTGGAAGGAGGGGTGTTTGGGGGTGACAAAGGTTACGCCCCCCTCCCACGATTGACCCATGTGCATGTTTTCCATAGTTGAAAAATCCCCAACACAACCTGTATCATTCATTTAGCTGAATGTCCGTTACCTACTATTTCAAATGTTGGTCTATCGGTTCAATCCCTGTTTGCCCTCTATGCTCCGATTGCAACTCCTCTCCCCCTAGTCTCCTCGAACATTCTTGGACATCATTACCCCAGCCATCCCTTTTAGAAAATATTGGTTCCTCCACTGCATTGCTGCACACGGAGCAATGGAGTAGAATAAGCTGTGAAACTTGGCCAAATCTTTAAATTTCAGCCATTCTGTAGGGTGGGGTGTCATTTTGAGTGACAATCAAAAATAGCAGTGAGCAATGTTTTGTCGCAGTAGCATCTTGGGTCAGTATTTCCAGGTGACGTCATATGCCTTTCAAAGAACTCGGGAGGGGCAGTGATGCAGATGGGGAGGGAATATACGGAAATATTACATTCTGGGTAGCTTTGCACCTGCTAAATCTGATGGGATTTTAATAAAACTCGATCCATTACAATATTATCTGCGTCAACATTTTATTCAGAATTTTCTCAATGAAACAGCAGTTGTACTTTTGTAATGTTTGCATCGGGAACAAAATATATTGACGTTTATAAACCTTACTGGTACTTTAGTTTAAAACGTAAACTGGCTTTGCTAACAACCACATTATATTTGGCTTGTGTTATATGAGGGATGTTTCCTTAAAAACAAGTTTTTCTTAAAAGCAAAACCGTGTAATTCCTTGCAATTCTGACCGAAATTCGTTTAATTTGTTGCAATTCCTACCCAATTTGATTCGTTGCAATCCTGACCGAATTTCGATTGTTTGACAACTTGTTATCGTTCTTTGTTTTCCGGCTTTAGAACAAAAAAGACATATAATACCCCATTAATGTAATATATCGTCATTCAAACTTCCAGGAAGTAGTTTAGGAAACGAATAAATGTAACATATAAAGTTTCTTTGATTATGACGGTACCCCGGCCTCTTAATAATTCGACCTCATTTCCTGCAAATACTCTTTTTCATGTATTTGTATTGCTCAAATCATAACATAACTGAATAACAAACCGATATTAAAAAATGCAGTGAGCTATACTCACGTGAATGGAAGGCTGTGTGTAATGCATCATTTCTGGTACAAAGAAATTGAAACTTAAAAGGGTCCATGAAGTGGATATTTATGAGGAACGCATTTTGTGCTACTTTCTCTTCCTCTTAAATGTATGAAAACTAATTAACATCCAGTTTTGGTTAATTATATTGAAGAGTGCACTTCTTGACATATGATGTTGCTGTGATGCCATTTCAGAAATATACTGATCATTTCAGGTGTTTTCTGTTTAAATTGTGATCCCAAAATACTGACACAACACCGTATCCAACAACGTACACTAAAGAAAAGAAAGTTTACCACAGCAAAATATCCAAAGTTCTGGCAACATTTTGTGCATAAACTAGTTGTAACATTGAGGTTTCTGCCTGAAATGACATCACCATTTTACTCGTGAATATGGAATTCGCATTAGCATATAAACCAAAAAGACACCAAAATAACCTTGAAAATGTCAAAATGCAAATTGAAAATCAGGTTCAATGGGACACAAAGTTACATTTTCAAGATTTGCATTAAACCAATTATATGTCATGGGCCCTTTCAACAATTCTAAGTTACATTTTTGCAATCATGAATGATTAGGTTGAAGCAATTAAGCACATGACAGCACTTTCATAGAATGGATCTCATATATGTATTTGATGTTATCTTTTATTACAACTTTATACAAAACAATTTGTTATACACACATATTAAGCATGGACAGAGGGAAGGTGTGCATCTTTATTTCCACTGTCAGTTAACTTGTTTATGCCTTCAATCATTTTCCATATATATTTTTACAGTTTTTGCAATTGTAACATCGTCTCGCCATGAATTCTCAAATTCTCAAATGAACAAAACGATTTAGCACACCTACGTTCTCGTTAAATTTCATATGCCAGATTGACTCCCATCACTAGTAGTAATGCTCTCAAACTTGTGCCAAATAAAATATCATTCGAAACTCTTCAGCAGACCCCTTGCACGGTGCGCCCTCACTGCGGCCAGGTTTTGTCATTTAAATTCATTGACAATTACAATACAATGCGTCTACTCATGCGTGTTACAGAGCAACAGAGACCTGACCTCAGATGTGACGTCAGCTGCAAGGGGTGTATCATTGGGTTGATGATTGTGTGCACAGATCATTTTTTCTTCAGTTTTCATTCCAGGTTTCCCTTTCACTGGTGTAATGTTAGGGTACTGCATACTCGGTGCTGTCTGAGATTTGCTCCAGTGGGAATCGAACCAACGACTTCCTGCTTTCAATTGCAGACAGCTGGCTATACTTAATGCATTAGTGGCAACTGATAAGTTAGACATTGTACAAACGTGACTCAAGTACAAAGTCATGTAGTGCTGTTTTTCTTCAGAACGTTCACTTTCTCTGTTAATATTTTATCACGGCAGAGCCCATATTATATTCCTTTTTCTGTTTTTTTGTTGTTTTTACCATAGCAATTTGTGTGCCAGGATTGTTTGCAGATGAAGTCAGAACATCTTGTTTCCTTAATGTTGTCATTGGGATTAGTAGTTGCTGACAAAAAGGACAGTTTTATGCAGGGACCTCAGTAAAGGCATTGTTGCTACGAAGTTGGTAAATATTGAAAGTTCCAGTGGGCCAAAGTTTGGACAGAGTGCATTGGATGTTTAAGTAAAAGAAATCCAATATTATTGCTCATTAAAATTTATAGTTAAGACTGTAAAATGTTGCAATGAAAATATTTGCCTGAAACAATATGAGAGACCTAAAACAAATGAAATTTTAGTAGATTAAACGAATGAATGAAAGCTGAAATAGCCCGCAATATCAGTGGTTTGACGAAATTGGTATATAAGTTTGATGTAATTGAAAAGATTGTGATGTAAATGGATGCCAAGTTATTTTTGTAGTTTTGTTAACAGTAAAATAAAGCTTGTAAATCTTTGGACGTTGGACCAAGCTTGTAATCGCGAACAAAAATAAATAGAAATTCTTGTCTTATTCCTGCCTGAGTTCTTGCGAATATCCAGTCACGAAAACCACCAATGAGAGTTTCCATAAGTCGTTCGTCCTAAGACACAGTTGAAATGTATCTGGTAGTGGTAGTATTTATTTAATCGGCCTTGAACAACTGAAAGTTGAAATCAGATGAGACGATCACTGATTTTAAATATGAAAAAAGGTGGTAAACTGGACTTGCAGCAGCTGGGATTCTGGATTTTAACAGTCACTGGAAAGAATTCACTAAAAGGTCTTCTTTTTACAGGGAGACATATGTGTCTCTTATGTAACGATCGATTCCCCTCAGTGAGGAGGATCAACAACCTCAACGAAGGAAGGGAGCCAATGCCTTGGCTACATTACTATGCAAGTTGTTGTCTGTTAAATGGACTTTCTTCACATCACCAAGAGAGGCCAGTAAACGGATGATTGCCCCGATATCGCTGTTTTGCAGACCACATCTATATAAATCTAGTGTGTGAAGGGAGGGGAGAGGATCGATGTTGACTTGTGACAAACCATGCAAATTGTTTCCATTCAGAACAACTTTCTTTATGCTGCCTGCAGATGAAAGAAGAGAACAAAGTGGCTCAATATCACTGTTTGTAAGACCACTTTCAAGTAGTTGCAATTCTTCAAGAAAAGGGACACTGGAGATAGTGCAAGGCTGGAGACCGTGCAAATTGTTTTCTTTCAGAACAACTGTCTTTATGCTGCCTGCTGATGAAAGAAGAGAGAAAAGTGGCTCAATATCGCTATTTGTCAGACCACTTTCATATAGGTGCATTACTTTAAGGGATGGGACACTAGCGATCGTGACAGGCTGCAAACCGTGGAAATGGTTTCCTATCAGAAGAACTCTCTTTATGCTGCCTGCTGAGGAAACTAGAGAGAAAAGTGGCTCAATATCACTGTTTGTCAGACCACTTTCATATAGGTGCAATTCTTCAAGGGATGGGACACTAGCGATTGCGACAGGATGCAAACCGTGGACATTGTTTCCTTGCAGAACAACACTCTTTATGCTGCCTGCTGAGGAAACTAGAGAGAAAAGTGGCTCAATATCACTGTTTGTCAGACCACTTGCACATAGGTGCAATTCTTCAAGGGATGGGACACTAGCGATCGTGACAGGCTGCAAACCGTGGAAATGGTTTCCTTTCAGAAGAACTCTCTTTATGCTGCCTGCTGAGGAAACTAGAGAGAAAAGTGGCTCAATATCAGTGTTTGTCAGACCACTTTCATATAGGTGCAATTCTTCAAGGGATGGGACACTAGCAATCGTGACAGGCTGCAAACCGTGGAAATTGTTTCCTTTCAGAAGAACTATCCTTATTCTGCCTGCTGAGGAAACTAGAGAGAAAAGTGGCTCAATATCACTGTTTGTCAGACCACTTTCATATAGGTGCAATTCTTCAAGGGATGGGATACTAGCGATCGTGACAGGCTGCAAACCGTGGAAATTGTTTCCTTTCAGAACAACACTCTTTATGCTGCCTGCTGAGGAAACTAGAGAGAAAAGTGACTCAATATCACTATTTGTCAGACCACTTCCATATAGGTTCAATTCTTCAAGGGATGGGACACTAGCGATCGTGACAGGCTGCAAACCGTGGAAATTGTTTCCTTCCAGAACAACACTCTTTATGCTGCCTGCTGAGGAAACTAGAGAAAAAAGTGGCTCAATATCACTGTTTGTCAGACCACTTTCATATAGGTACAATTCTTCAAGGGATGGGACACTAGCGATCGTGACAGGCTGCAAACCGTGGAAATGGTTTCCTTTCAGAACAACACTCTTTATGCGGCCTGCTGAGGAAACTAAAGAAAAAAGTAGCTCAATATCACTGTTTGTCAGACCACTTTCATATAGGTGCAATTCTTCAAGGGATGGGACACTAGCGATCGTGACAGGCTGCAAACCGTGGAAATGGTTTCCTTTCAAAAGAACTGTCTTTATGCTGCCTGCTGAGGAAACTAGAGTGAAAAGTGGCTCAATATCATTGTTTGTCAGACCACTTTCATATATGTGCAATTCTTCAAGGGATGGGACACTAGCGATCGTGACAGGCTGCAAACCGTGGAAATGGTTTCCTTTCAGAAGAACTATCTTTAGGCTGCCTGCTGAGGAAACTAGAGAGAAAAGTGGCTGAATATCACTGTTTGTCAGTCCACTTTCATATAGGTGCAATTCTTCAAGGGATGGGATACTAGCGATCGTGACAGGCTGCAAACCGTGGAAATTGTTTCCTTGCAGAACAACACTCTTTATGCTGCCTGCTGAGGAAACTAGAGAGAAAAGTGACTCAATATCACTGTTTGTCAGACCACTTTCATATAGGTGCAATTCTTCAAGGGATGGGACACTAGCGATCGTGACAGGCTGCAAACCGTGGAAATGGTTTCCTTTCAAAAGAACTGTCTTAATGCTGCCTGCTGAGGAAACTAGAGTGAAAAGTGGCTCAATATCACTGTTTGTCAGACCACTTTCATATATGTGCAATTCTTCAAGGGATGGGACACAAGCGATCGTGACAGGCTGCAAACCGTGGAAATGGTTTCCTTTCAGAAGAACTATCTTTAGGCTGCCTGCTGAGGAAACTAGAGAGAAAAGTGGCTCAATATCACTGTTTGTCAGACCACTTTCATATAGGTGCAATTTTTCAAGGGATGGGACACTAGCGATCGTGACAGGCTGCAAACCGTGGAAATTGTTTCCTTGCAGAACAACACTGTTTATGCTGCCTGCTGAGGAAACTAGAGAGAAAAGTGGCTCAATATCACTGTTTGTCAGACCACTTTCATATAGGTACAATTTTTCAAGGGATGGGACACTAGCGATCGTGACAGGCTGCAAACCGTGGAAATTGTTTCCTTGCAGAACAACACTCTTTATGCTGCCTGCTGAGGAAACTAGAGAGAAAAGTGGCTCAATATCACTGTTTGTCAGACCACTTTCATATAGGTGCAATTCTTCAAGGGATGGGACACTAGCGATCGTGACAGGCTGCAAACCGTGGAAATTGTTTCCTTTCAGAACAACACTCTTTATGCGGCCTGCTGAGGAAACTAGAGAGAAAAGTGGTTCAATATCACTGATTGTCAGACCACTTTCATATAGGTACAATTTTTCAAGGGATGGGACACTAGCGATCGTGACAGGCTGCAAACCGTGGAAATGGTTTCCTAGCAGAACAACACTCTTTATGCTGCCTGCTGAGGAAACTAGAGAGAAAAGTGGCTCAATATCACTGTTTGTCAGACCACTTTCATATATGCGCAATTCTTCAAGGGATGGGACACTAGCGATCGTGACAGGCTGCAAACCATGCAAATTGATTCCTCTCAGAACCACTCTCTTCACGCTGCCTGCTAATGAAAGAAGACAGAAAAATTGCTCAATATCACTGTTTGTCAGCCCACAATCGAAAAGACAGCAGTCTTTCAGAGATGGAACTGGTTTAATGTTTTGTTTCGACAGTGATTCATGCAAATTGATGCCATTCAATACAACTGCTTGCGTGTTGGTTTTTGATAACACTTCGAAAAGTTTTACAAGGTTCCAATCACAGTTATGTACTTCTAAAGACTTCAGATATGTCAATATCCCCGTGGAGTTATCCACAAAGCTACCCCAGCTGATTCCATGAAGTACAAGTTTAAGCAATGGCTTACATTGTATGTGTGTCATGATATCCTCTAACAGTCTCAATTCAGCAAAGCCTCGACATTTAGCACCAATTTCTTGTATGCCTACTTTGTGTAGAGTTGTATGTTTGGACCCGATTTGAAAGAAATAATGCGCAGCCACGAGAACTTCACCTTGGAGTTCATAGGGAAACTCAACCTTCGCAGTCTCAACAAAGTATTTCACAAGGGATTCTGATTGAGCTTCAAAGAGGAGCAACATCGAGATTCTATGCAGGGACTTGTTCAGTTCATTTTGCTTCAAGAGATCTCCAATGCGCTGCAAAATCACCTCGGCGGCATTGCCTTTCAGCCCACAGCAGAATCGCAGAACATATTCCACGCTTTCCACATTGCCATGAAATATACGAGACAAGTATTGGTCAAAGGCTTGTCTGTCAGTCCATGACAAATCTACAAGATAAACCGCTGCGCTATATTCTTGGAAAGTCTTGTGAATGAACGAAAAGTGAGAGACCGTCTTGAGACCTTGACATTTTCTTCTTTTTGACAACAAGCCAACATCACATCCCTTCTCAAACATTTCTAGATCCTCTGAATCTATCTCATCTTCCTTGAAATGAAGTTTTTCCCCATTTGGATCTAACAAACCTTCAAGAGCTATCCGACCAAGTTTGGAAACATGTGTCTCAGTGTCAGAAACTTGCTCGTCTGTTTCCTTACTTTCCTTATGCTGGAAAAGCAGCTGAATTGTATCCCCAAAAAGGTTTGTTATTTGATCAGGAAGTTTCCCTTCAGCTGCCCATGTGTGACACATCAGCCACAGAAATAACGGTATCTCCGCTAAACTACGAAGCGTTTCAGATGCATTCACCTTTTCAAGGAAGCTGTTTTGATTATCTGATTGAAAATTTGCCAAGTATTTCCTCACGTACTTTTGCCTGTCTTTCTCGTCAAAGCCAACTATGTTAATTTTTGTGTAGTGTGCATGCATAGTCAGCAGTTCATTTGCCGTCTTCTGTCGGCTCGTTACTATTACCTTGCACGACTTCAGTGATTTGAACGATAGTACACCTTTCAAGTCAATTCCGTTCTTGCACTGTGCGTCCTTTACTCTTTGTAAAGAAATCTCATCAGCGCCATCTAAAAGAATTAATACGCGCTCTGGGTTATCATGGATGTATTGTTCTAAGTCTCTCTTTTTCAGTTTGCTGTCTGTGAGTATCTGAGAGAATATGGCGTCGATGATGTCGAATTTCTTACCCATTCGATTGACCTCTACCATAAAGACAAGCTCGTATCTTTCCAGAACTGATGTGGGCTCAGATTGTTGTTGGTTTTCAGTTTGATCCCCCTTGGTTTTCATATCCGCCCAATCGTATGCAATCCTTTTAAGGAGTGTGGTTTTCCCGTAACCAGCCTCAGCTCTGATTAATAATCGATTTGATTTGAGCACAAGCATGTCTTTATATGAGTCAAGGGAAATTTTCTGAACGTGAAGCCCTTTTTCCTTATCAGGTTGTGATTTTGGAAGATCAGGGATACATCTAGCTCTATTGGATGCTTTCAAATGCTCCGATTGGCTGACTGTTTCTGCCTGCATCTCTGTCTCTGATGAGGAGACAGGAGATGGTATGTTCGTCTCTTCTAGTAGCTGTAGATTGACGTACATGTCATCCATCTCTCTGGCCATGTGCTTCTCTTTAGGATGTGTCGTCACTTTCATCGTCTCTCGGTAATGTGCTGCCAGTTCTCTTGCACACTGTTCAATATCAAAAGAGGTTCCTGCGATGCCTGTGTAGAAGAAGTCATTATGGGGAACAATCAAGTAAATTATTAGCATATATATAAAAACGTCGATCTGTAAGTTTAAAACTACGGACCCAATTTCCTGGCGCTGCTAAGCTCATGCTAAAGACACTTTTTTAAGACAGTCTTTATCATTTTCACAGAAATTGTAAGCAGTAAGCACAGCAAAGAGCATGCTAAATTCAGAGTAAAAATGCTTTAATGCACGCAACCGTAAGCAAATCCACAACGTGAAATATTGCTGAAGGTTAGCATAATTTGTAACCTTTGTGGAAATTTATATCTTCTGCTGATGGTGTATCAGCCAATGGCCCATGTAATGTGTTTTAAAAAGGGCTCCTTTGTGTGCCATTTAACTTTACTTGAATTTACATTTGGCTATTTTACGGGTCATTTTGGTGCCTTCTTGTTTTTATGCTAATTCAAAAATTCAAGTTTCTTATTCTTGAGCAAAGGTTTGATGTCATTTCATGTAGAAACATCAATGTTACAGCTATTTACGTTGTACATTTTCCATTTGTTTTGCTGTTGTTTGGCGATTCGTTGTTGATTCTGTAATGACGATAAGCCAATGAGTAATTTGTTTCGCCAAAATTATTTGAAATGATCAGTGAAAAAAACCTGTACTGAACAGTAGTACGGCAGGAGAAATGGGTTCCCATGCAACCCCCTAAAATAAAATTCCAAGATAATTTTTAAAATCCCTAGGACATCGGATTAAAGAATTTTTATGTTGCCAGCTAAAACAATCGTCCCATGATGCCCTAATTTGCATAATTCCAAGATGGCTGCCGTGCAAATAATTAAAACGCTAAATGTCATATGTTAGTGATTAATGAGCCGATTTTGTTAATCTTGGTGTCAAAATTATGGCTTTTTGAATCGATTTTCGAGGTTTCTTAAATAGCTGGAGGTCAAGGTCACGTGATTCAGGCAATAGTCAAGGTCATTTAGGTAAAAAATGCGTCATTTTAATTTCCCCAACGGCATTATTTTTTACCTAGCTCCCATAGATATGGTGATAGAGGCCTACTTATTGCTTTACAAATTTCCCACATTATCCCAATTACCAATTCCATTTAATAAAATAAAAATGTGGCATTTTATTTTGGACTTTCAATATTTGATCCCACCCACTCAGTTTTGGATATGACCCGATATTATGAAAATTCTTAAAATATAGCCAGTGGATTGAAAGCTTACCGTTATATTTTTTTAGGGTCATGGAATCGATTGATGGTGGTTTAGAAATAATCAGAGGCCATTTTCTTGCTCCAAAGACAAGGGTCAAGGACATTTTATTAATAAATACTTCTTTGTTTCATTTTCAGACATGCACGATTTTTGTCCAACTCCCATTGATACGGGTAATAAAAAGCTTATTGTTTAGAATTTTTTCATTAACCCAAAGACAATTTTATGTGAACAATATGGTTAATCATGATCTTCGAGGTCATAGGATGTGTCCATTTGAGGTCTTCATCATTGTGTTAAGGTCATCTTCAAGGTCATAAGACGGGAGAAAAAAGTACATACAACTGAGCGCATATACCTCATTGCAAGTGATGAACATTTATTACTCCTGAACCGGTAATTACAGAAAGACTACTGGGTTATTTATAACAAGTGACGTTGTGGCGAAGTCTAAGGGACATCCTCAGAATCCATGAAAACATCATCTTCGTCAATCTCCATAGTCTCCTTAGGATACCGCGTGCTACTTCGCTCTCTTGCTGGCCCTCTTCATTTTGAGCAGCATCAGTGTCCAACGGATCAACGAGCGATGGGAGCAAGATAGGGCCAATTGACCAGACAGGCTCCAGTATGTACCCCTCCAACTGTCTTCAGCCACCCTTGACCCTCATCATACGGTTTGGGAGCCCCAAAATTAGGGTCAGCAGCACGCCTGTAGCCGGCCGGCCAAAAAGTGGTTGACGCACTGCACATGATGAGGGATGAGTGAGTTATGGCAGGGAGGCAGGCGGACCATGTCAACCTTCCACTTGCAGTTAAGCTAGTGGTGCTCTCCCTCAGCAGCTTGCCCCTCAGCACATTCCAACGGCAAAGTACCGGGGAAACTTGATGGAACAGGGCAAATACCGGCTTGTTATGGGCTTGTTCTGGCAGAACCATACAGTTTCAATGGTCCTCAACCAGAAACGGGCCATTACTGGCTTGATTGTGGCAATGCAGTTCCGTGTTGACGGCACAGAGCTGGTCCAGTGCTTCTAAATGTATATACAACAAACCGTAACGCCAAGATGGTACAGAGCCTGAATCGGGTCACTGCTGGTCCTTTCAGAAAGACGGTACAGGGCCTGATGAGGCCAGTGATCTTATTCCTGTCAAAACCATTATGGCAAGATACATGTATGTTATCGAGCCCGAAGTGGTCTTTCTGAAAGGACCAGCAGTGACCCGATTCAGGCTCTATACCGTCTTGCCGATATGGTTTGCCTTAAGAGGGCCGGCACTGGCCCGATTCAGGCTGTGTGCCGTTTTCTTGCCGTTATGGCTTGTCGCAAGAGGATGGCTGACACTGGCCCGATTCAGGCATACCGTCATGCCAATATGGTTTGTCGTAAGAGGCGAGCACTGGCCCGATACAGGCTGTGTGCGGTCTTACCGTTATTCTTGTCGCAAGAGGGCCGGCACTGGCCCGATTCAGGCTGTGTAATGTGCTACCATTAAGGTTTACCAACACTGGACCAGCTCTGTGCCGTCATGGTGCCGTCAACACGGAACTGCATTGCTGCAATCAAGCCAGCAATGGCCCGTTTTTCTGGTTTTGGACAATTGAATTTACGGTGCTGCCAGAACAAGCCCATAACAAGCCGGTATCTGCCCTGTACCGTCATGTTTGCCCGGTGCTTGGCCTATATGCGTTCTCGGGAAGGACTGCACCAGTGCTTTCAAGGGCAAGGGGAAGGTTGCGCCACTGAAGAAGCTCCAGAAGAACACCAAGTTCCACAAGGTTTTCAGGCAAATAACATTTGCATATCAACAATTATTTGCATGTAGTCACATTCAAGTGCTCTTTCAAATGCATTGTGGTTCATGAAGTGATCGTACATTATGAACTGTGTTACAGGCAGGTCGGCGTGACAGGGAGGGTGGCCCCAGAGGCGCAGGAGAAGTTGGAGGCCTTCACCTGCGCCATGTATGGTCAAGCGCGTGAGACATGTATACATGTATATGAATGTGGTGAGGAACAAGCTGCTGAGGGAGAGGACCACAAGCTTAACTGCAAGTGAAAGGTTGACATGGTCCGTATGATGAGGGTCAAGGGTGGCTGAAGACAGTTGAACGGGTACATGTACTGGAGCCTGTCTTGTCAATTGGCCCTATCTTGCCACCATCACTCGCTGATCCGTTGGACACTGATGCTGCTCAAAATGAAGAGGGCCAGCAAGAGAGCGAAGTAGCACGCGGTATCCTAAAGAGACTATGGAGATTGACGAAGATGATGTTTTCATGGATTCTGAGGATGTCCCTTACACTTCGCCACAACGTCACTTGTTATGAATAACCCAGTAGTCTTTCTGTAATTACCGGTTCAGGATTAATAAATGTTCATCACTTGCAATGAGGTCTATGCGCTAAGTTGTACGTAGTTATTTCTTCCGTCCTATGACCTTGAAGATGACCTTAACACAATGATGAAGACCTAAAATTGACATATCATTTGACCTCAAAGATCATGATTAACTATATTGTTCAAATGTCTTTGGTTTTAATAAGAAAAATTCTGAACAATAAGCTTTCATTACCATATCAATGGGAGTTGGACAAAAATCGTGCATGTCTAAAAATGAAAACAAAGACCTTTTTTTAATAAAATGCCCTTCAACCTTGTCCTGCGGGCAAGAAAATGACCTCTGATAACTTCTAAACCACCATCAATCGATTCCATGACCCCCAAAAAAATATAACGGTAAGCTTTTTATCCACTGGCTATATTCTAATAATTTTCATAATATTGGGTCATATCCAAAACTTAGGGGGTGGGATCAAATATTGAGCCATAAGTCCAAAATAAAATGCCACATATTTATTTTATTAAATGGATTTGGTGATTTGGATAATGTGCAAAATTTGGAAAGCAATAAGTAGGCCTCTATCACCATATTTATGGGAGCTAGGTAAAAAATAATACCGGTCGGGAAATAAAAATGACGCATTTTTTACCTAAATGACCTTGACTTTTGCCTGAATTACGTGACCTTGACCTCCAGCTATTTTAGAAACCTCAAAAATCGATTTAGCACCCCAAAAAGCCACAATTTTGACACCAAGATTGTCAAAATCGGCTCATTAATCACTAACATATGACATTTAGTGTTTTAATTATTTGCACGGCAGCCATCTTGGAAATTGCGAATATGCAAATTTGGGCATCATGGGACAATTTTTTTTCGCTGGCAACATCAAAATTCTTTACTCCGATGTCCTAGGGATTCTAAAAATTATCTTGGAATTTTATTTTAGGTGGGGGTGGGGGTGCATGGGAACCCATATCTCTCCTGCCGTACTACAGTGTCTTCCTAAATTGACATCACATGAACAACGACATCGCTTGTCGGGAAAATAATGGCTAAAATATTAAAAGAAGTGCACTTTCATGAAATGTACACAAAGAGATGTCAAATAGTTGTCACAAATTTAAATAATGGGTGTTTTGTATCGTTTGTCAGCAGCTGCAACTTCCTAAAAAATAAGTTATGTACAGCTTTGAATATCCGGAGAATAAAGTTTCATTCAGTTGAAATTGAATCACCGAGAGGTATAACCTTTTAGTAGCCTAACGATTTCTAAAAAAATAAAAATGTGGTATTACTTTAAATTTCGTCAAAAGTAACACATAAAGTAAAGTGATGTATAGCACGCTAAACTTGACCAAAAAAGAGTGCATTGAACTTAGAGTGCATCGGTTAGCTCTCATACCTGGTACTTGTGATGCTAAGTCAGCACGACCCGCCGCTTGCAGAGCGTCTCTCAGCTTCTCAGGAGCATCGGCAGGGTTGTCCTGCTTCTTCCACCAGGCATCTAACATCTTGTAGATTTGTTCGTGTAAGTCTCCCCTGTAGTTTTCTTCGAATTGGTCCAGTTGTCCTTCCTTGAATCCCAATTGTCTGGCGAGCCTCTTCCAGCTTCGTCCAGGCACGTCTGACAATTCTGAGAAGCAAATGCTTCTCGACTTTTCGTCTTCTGCAATGCAAAATCACATAAACAGTATGCATCAATCATCTCAGCGAGGCATAGGGGCTCAAGGGTAAGGTTAAGATCCAAAGCCCATGTGGCTAGGGGCTATGCACATTTTGTCACCCCCCCCCAAAAAAAATTCCATAAAACAAAAATGGCAGTAGCAAAATGTTAGAGGGTGACGTCACATGCGAACGGTCTGCGTTGTGAGAAGGGGCATTTTTACACTATTAGGTAAAAAGTGTGCATGATTGTAGGATTTTTTAAGCGCTCCCCATTGAAAATATGGTACAAGCCCAAGCCTTTAACGGGTACCCGGGTACCCTTTTTTTAAAGCAGCCTCATGCCCAATCGAGATATAGTTACCTAATGATCCACCGCCCAGCAAGCCGCCAACGCGAAGCTTGATGTTCTGGTCTTGTTGTATCCCATGGTTGCGAATTGAGAGCAGTTCACTAAGCTGCAAAAGCAATACAATTTCTTTTTTGAATTATTCAGAATTTAAAACAAAAACAAAAACCCGTTGCACACTGCTTATTTGACTGAAAGAAAATTTCCAAATCAGAACAGTAACAGTATGTCCCTAAAAGTGGCAGTCTTACTATTTTTGAAATTACTACAAAACCACGAAGTAAATTTAGAAAAATTGTAATTATGCAGATACTCCTTATCCTTGGTCTCAACCCAGGGGCGGATCCAGGATTTTTTTGCGGGGGGGGGGGGGGGGGGGTCAGGTCCGTCAGACTTTTTTATGTCCGATTGTTGCGGACAGGCGGACATATACTTTTGTTGAACCCCCTATGAATTTCATCTAATTCTCATCACGCCTCACTGTTACCAAGTTAATTGCTTTAATCAATTTCAGTGCTGTGTTATGTAAGCTGTGTAAACTAATCATTATGTGAAAAGGGCTGTGGTTGGGATTGGAATCATTTTCCTGGCTTTCAGTTATCATGACAAGACCTCAGTTTAATGCTAAGGGTAAATGATTCCAATCTTCAACCACACAAGCCCCTTTTTTTCACAACATGCAGGATTTTAAACAGATTCGCAAGTTGGTTCTTCATGCCATAAAGAACCAACATGCGAAGCTTCATGCTTTAGTCACGAAGTGCACAACTGTATCACATATTTCACATTAACAGCCCCACTACAAGGATAATGAGTATCTGCACAAATAAACATTTTCAAAACATGCTTCGTGGTTTTGTAATTATTGCAAAAAAAGTCAGACGGACCCTTTTTGGGGACACTCCATAAGAAGGCCCGCCGGTCTCGCAGAATTGTTTCAACAAAATTGAACAATCACAATTTTGTTTCACAAACTCCTGTTATAATAATGTAATTTCAACGTTTCGGGGGAAAAAATCTCTCCATAAAAAACAATCTGTTTTCGAAAAAAAAGGAACTAGGTAAATTCAAAACAACTTGCAGAAATCATACGCTCAGATAAAATGTATTTTAAAAATTGACTTGTTTTTTTCCCAATTCACGGTAATTATAGAATTAGCACCTGAAAGTTTCTCCCGATGTAAAGGCGTTGATCCTGAGACTGGATGCCACTTTCCAGCTCCACACGCTTTTTCAAAGCTGCTACTGATGTCTCTGGATCGAGATGCAGGCAAAGGGTCTTTGGTAAGAGGAGACCTCTGACAAAAACCTGCAATTTCTGTCTCACTTCGACGGGACTGCAAGTGGGAAATACAAAACAAAAATCTCCTGGATAATACCTCTGACAAGAACTCTTTTTTTTTATTTAGCTAACTTTTGTTACTTTTCTATCACAATTTTCCTTCCAACTTTTTGTGTACGAGAAAATGATATCAGATATTCACCTGCAATTACAAAGGTCGCTAATTGTTATTTGGTTTGGACATGAGGGAAGTGCTGATTTATTTGGTGGAGGGACTTTTCTTCATGAAAATACTCTTAAACGATATGAATGTATTACTTACATCTATTCAATCCTTCAAAATACCCCATTTTAGACCAATTAAGTCCTAAACGTTATCAAGTTTTTTGGAAAATGTTTGTCCCCGAAGATTTAAGTCAGATACTGTCACAAACGTACGCAGCGCCCTCAATAGTTGATGAAAACTGAATAGAAACACTGCTTCCGTTTACACGCGGCAGTGTATTGTGTTCGAATTTTCTCCAGGTATCGTGAATAAAAACGATCCAAACCAGGCTTTATCTAAATTATGGGTGCGTCCCTTTATTCGGCGTCATCTCCGAACGCTTTAAAACATGCCTTATATACATTATTATTCTAAAATGTGTTCATGAATACGAAATCAGAATTGTGTAAACTTCCAAACACATGTTGTATTAATGCTTCAACAAACTGTAGATGGCACTATACGAGTTGGATTTTTATTTTGTCAGCTCCGTCACAGTCAGCTCCGTCACGTTTTACCGTGAGGGAGACGATTTCTGGACGTTTTCTTTAGTCGATAATGGTAATAAAATATGGGTAATAAAGGATTGAGTTTATCATGTTAAATACTCTCTATTCACTGGTTATTTTTCTTTGGTTATACTTTAAAAGGTCTCATTTGAATTTATTCGGCTTCACATTCATTCAAATATTGTCATTTCCGTCACAACAGGTGCGACGGATATGACTTTTGCATTTTTTCCTTTGCTACAACACTGAAAATGGAATATTTAAAAAAGGGTTAAAACTTCCCTAAAGATTGCGCCGTGCGCTAAGTAAAGTTGCCGTGCAACATGATGATAACATCCCACGAAAGGAATTGAACATTTGAAAAAAAACCTTTTTTCACAATTTTTGTAAGGCTCAAAATAGACACTTACTGAAGAATGACCGTATACCCATACGGTGCATTGATATGTACTATTTATTTCAGATATACCTGTTAATGGAAAGCTTTCTTAAACTTATTTAACCAATTGTGAAATGAGGTGATGCATTAATGAAGGTGCGAATTTGATTTAAAAAAAAAAATAACACAAATAAACTAATGAACACTGCAGACCTAGAATGTTTGGTTGGTTTATGGTCTATAAAGACGAATATACTAGAAACGAAAAAACTTCTACCCTAGAGTACGGCCCTAATATATGATGAAGGGGAAATTAGTTTCGATCGATTGCGATTTCCAGAGCGATTTCCCTTGTTTTACCTTTTCAATTCAGCTCTGGTTGTTTCGTCTGTTGTCGCAGTTTTGCTGTGCTCAGGATGAGTTACTGAAGCCTCTTTCAGTGGCAGGACGGATACTCCCTCTTCATCAGAATGGAGTCTTGGCGAGGCTTTGACTGGAAAGGCGGCCATGAATGCCGCCTTACGATTTGGCTTTACCCTCCTCTTCGTGCTGAGGAGTTTGCCGAGTGAGTGGTTGTACTCCTCGGCCGTGATCCTAGCTCTACCCCGCCGACCAGGGCTGTCTTCCTGCATCTTTGTGATTGAAGTCAGACGTCAGATGATGAGGCTCACATAATCTAGAATAACAATGAAAATAATAAATACCAACCGTACTATGTAGGTAGTCATAGTTTTAAAATATTGGAATTGCAAAACAACATTTGGCATCTCTGAATGGATTAATCAAGATAAGTATAGACGAATATAACGATGAAGAGATAACATGGGGTGCTGTGGCCAATGGTGGTTAGGGTGTTCGACTCGTGTGCCGTGGTCCATTGGTTCTAAGAGAAGGGGTTTGCCCTGGTGTTTCTTGCAGTGGCTGCAATATGTGCCGCTTCACTTTGTATACCCTTATAAGGTGCTACATAATGGGCCTCATCTTTCTCATCAACTTCATTTACCTGTTTTTAATAATTGAACTAATTTCCAGCGCCGTCAGTACCTCATTGTTGGTAGATACGTGCACTACATAAGACTCCGGTATTATTATAATTATTGGGGTCAAAATACTAATATATATTCAGTTGCCATTTAAAGGCATACAATTTCCATAATGGCTTTCCATCTTTAAAGGGAAAATACAACATTAGCCTTGCTAATGAATGAGATGAATGAAACTATACATGTTTGTTTACACTTGAAGGGGCATTACGGCCACAAATGCCCGACAATGATACGTTTTGAGTTGTTTAATTATCTTATTCCAATGGTCTGGTAAAAAGGAAACTAACCTTCTGTCTTACCGTTCCCGAAAAAAATAATGATCCGTCCAATTAACATCAGTTTGTTTAAATAGCGTTAGTGTAGCCCATTCTAAGACGCAATTCCCGTGGTAGCTATTTTTGCCCGACCACATGTGTAGTTTAACCCATTTCAGCAGCAAACTCATTTTACGAGATATTTTCGGTAGATAAATAATTCGTAAAAATCTAAAAATAAGCCGAAAGGAAATATTATCTATGTGCTTCCACACAGGTATGCCGTGTTTTTTTTTTTCAGGGTTATAAAAATCGTGGTTTAAAAACAAAAAAGTAATCAATTGGATTTGTATAGCATGGCGTGCTATCATTAAGCGAATAACATTATTACAGATAACTATTCAGAAAAAAAAAATTGGTTTTTGTTGTTGATTCATTTCCCCCCTATTCTTCGAGCGGCCACCCTATTGTCTTATTTGTACTGATTACCTATTGATTGATAATTTTTTTATTTCAACTATACATTTTTTATTTAAATCGATTTGTTTTTTGTCATTGATAAGTTATCAAAAAAAGTTGTGTTCATCACATTCAACACAAATAACATTATTAAACAGGCTCTGTACAATTTTGTTTAGTTTGCATTGTATTTTAACCTTTTACAAATCACTTGAAAGAAAGTAATAACACGTCTCACACAGACACTAGATTACTACATTCAAGGGATTAATGAAACACTGAACACGAGTGAAGGAACAATTGCGAAAGACAAGTTGTTCATCCTTTTAGTGTTATGCTGTTCAAACAACAAAGTTTGGTGATTGTACATGGACATGTTACTACATTGTAATAATGGTGTACTGTGTGGACACTACTTATATAAACCCTTTTTGATAATATTAACATCCCTTGCATCCCTACATGAACCAACACTTGGCATCACACTCAGTTGATAACCGTGTAGCCAACCAGAACATATCAACTGCGAAGAGAGCATACTGGATGGAATGATCTAAAAGATAACATAAGTGTATTGAATTTTTGGGTTAAATTTCTTTGAAAGCTAGTATCTACGTGCGTAGGCCTATCATTTTTTTTGGATTACTTTTACTTTTGTATGACTTTATATTATTTTTATTGTTTTTTTTATTAATTGTAGTCGTGATTTAAATCCATGATTTCAATCAAAAAGTTAAAATCAACAACCCTGTTATTTTTTTTGGCCTTAACTTCGTAGTGCAATCTCACAGGACAAAATGTACACGTTGTGTGGCAAGGCCTGAAATGAGCAACAAAGAAACCCGGCATATCCCCTGCAGAGAGGCCTACGTGACTTGCTCAGTTTTGTTTGCCTCTGAAGAAGAACTTTTGAAGTTCGCAACGTCAGGCCGCATTCTTTTTATAAAAAGTATAAACCAACACAAAACAAACTAAGAGTTGCTATTTTGAAGATATTTGGCTGACGTTTATTGAATGGAATGGAGAGGGTAAATTATTATGTATTGTAATTCAGTGACCGCAAACTACGTGACCTGGAGCCGGTTTTACCACGGGGAATAAGAGGGGTTTTCCCTCAGCCCACGCAGCAATGGTATTCTATTCGTATTGCCAGAGTAAGAGTTAGTAACTTGAACAATAGTGACCGATGAATTGGAAAGGAGAGCCAAGAGTTATACGTGGAATCTAGATAAATGGGTCAAAATATTCGTCGCGCCTATTTCTCCCCGGGGACCAGAAAGGGGGGGGGGGAATTGACAATGATTTCAATCAAAGGAGATACAAAGAACCCTACCGATTGCGTGCAACAGCTCAATTGAGGTTTGCACTTTTCTATTCAAGAGTAAAATTCTACAGTGGAGCTTTACATATTTCTGCTTAGCTATTATTGAGACTACCCTTGTGTTATTTACAAGGTTTTTTTCTTCAATACTCAAATTGTAAGGATTGGAATACACTGAGTTAGTTCCTACGGACTATATTCCCAAGGACAGGGGTAATACCACGACAAATAAAGGAGAAATGAAAGTAAACCTATTTAATTAAAACTGGCAAGTCAACAGGTGTTATTGCAGGATAGGTGCGCATGCACACAAGACATTCCCTGAGGGTGGAACAAATACATTGAATAAACTGTATCTCTGTATTTTTTTCTTAATTTATAAGGTGGCTGACGATGTTGATATTTTTTTTGTTCACACAGAGGATGAAATTAGATAGTTATTATTTAAATTGATATTATTTAGAAAGATATTATTGTTTAGACAATAAATGACAATGTTTTTTTTTTATTTATTAAACATTTTGAAGATGTTCAGTCAATTTTAATTTATTGTAAGGAGCGTTGAGTGTTGGTTTGACGGATTCGGCGATATATCAGATGAGTATTATATATTATTTAAGGTAATGAACAACACTTGAACAAATCAGTGTGGGAGCAAAGGCTCTATCATCCAAGGCCAATGCCAAGGCCTTGACTTTCAAGGCCCGGGCCAAGACAAGCCCCAAAGACGAGTTTCAAATTGGAATTGAAACTAAGGCTGTCAGTGGTAAGCCATTATATGAAATAGCAAACAACGAAGTTTGTGATTTTACATGGACATGTTACAACATTGTAATTGAATGGTGTACTGTGCGGACACTACTTCTTCAAAGCCTCTTTAAGAATATTAACATGCCTTGCATCCACGCATGAAACAACAATTTGCATACAACACTCATTGGGAAGTTGATAACAGGGTAGCCAACCAGAACTTATCAACTGCCAGGAGGGCCTACTGGATGGAATGATCCAAAAGGTTACATTGGTGTATTAACATTTGATTAAATTTCTTTGAAAGCTATTATCTACGTGCGTATCATTTTGTTTAATTACTTTTACTTTTTTATGACTTTTGATTTTCTTTTAATAGTTTTTTTTTATATTTTAGTCGTGATTTAAATCTATGATTTAAATCAAATAGTTAAAATCAAACAACCCTGTTATTTTTTTTGCCTGAACTTCGTAGTGCAATCTCACTGGACAAAATGTACACGTTGTGTGGCAAGGCCTGAAATGAGCAACAAAGAAACCCGGCATATCCCCTGCAGAGAGGCCTACGTGATTTGCTCAGTTTTGTTTGCCTCTGAAGAAGAACTTTTGAAGTTCGCAAAGTCAGGCCGCATTCATTTTATAAAAAAGTATATACCAACACAAACCAAACTAAGGGTTGCTATTTTGAAAATGTTTGGCTGACGTTTTATCGAATGGCATGGAGAGGGCAAATTATTATGTATTGTAATACACAGAAAAAAAATCAGTGACCGCAAACTACGCGACATGGAACCAATACCTGGGGATAAAAGGGGTTTTCCCTCAGCCCCTGCAGCGATTGTATTCTAATTTTATTGCCAGGGTAGGAGTTAGTAACTTGAACACTAGTGACCGATTATTATTATTATTATTATTATTATTTATTCGACCTCAACAGAACAGCAACAAGCAATCAAAACGGCACAAAATGTAAACAATTAAATGACAAAAGAACGAATAACCGATGAATTGGAAAGGAGAGCCATGATTTAAGCATGGAATCTAAACGTTTTATTGAATGGCATGGAAAGGGCAAATTATTATGTATTTGTAATACACAGAGAAATTCAGTGACCGCAAACTACGCGACCTGGAACCAATACCTGGGGATAAGAGGGGTTTTCCCACAGCCCCTGCTGCGATTGTATTCTAATTTTATTGCCAGGGTAGGAGTTAGTTACTTGAACAATAGCGACCGATGAATTGGAAAGGAGAGCCATGATTTAAGCATGGAATCTAAATAAATGGGTTAAAATATTTGTCGCGCCTATTTCTCCCCAGGGACCAGAAAAGGGGAAGAACTGACAATGATTGCATTAACAAGAGATACAAAGAACCCAAACTGATTGCGTGCGACGGCTCAATTGAGGTTTGCACTTTTCTATTCAAGAGTACAATTCTACGGTGGAGCTCTACATATTTCTATTTAGGTATTATTCAGACTACCCTAATGTAATTTCCAAGGTTCTTTTCTTTAATCCTCAAATTGTAAGGATTGGAATGTACAGAGTTAGTTCCCACGGACTATATTCCCCAGGACAGGGGAAAATACCATGACAAAAATAAGAAGAATTGAAAGTAAACCTATTTAATTAAAACTGGCAAGTCAACAGGTGTTATTGCAGGATAGGTGCGCATGCACACAAGACATTCCCCGAGCGGGGGAACAGATACATTGAATAAACTGTATCTCTGTATTTTATTTGTTATTTATGAGATGGCTGATGATGTTGATATTTTTTGATCACACAGAGGATGAAATTAGATAGTTATTATTGTTGAAACAATACATGACATCGTAAA